TATCCTTTTGGAAATTTGCTGGAACTTTGGTATGATCAAATTTAATGAAAAAATGTACAAAGCATTGCGAAGAAATAGTTTGATCATTTTGGTTCATTTAGATATAGTGGGAAAACAATCTTATCACTCTTTAAGATATTTTGACACGCTATTTAGGAACCACGTGTTTGTTTCGTTCAGGGCCGTATTGTCAAATCGTTTGTTTACGGCCCTCTCGTTATGCAATTGCAAAAAAAACTCAGCGTATCTTCTTTTAATTGCATTCTCTTGCAACATGCAAAATTTTTGGGTTGAAAAAATCAATGTTATGATTGAGATTATTTATATGCTCGGTTAACATAGTTTTGAATTGTTTGGTATTTTTAGAGTTATTTTTATGTTGATGAAGGCGTTTACTCAGGTTTTGGCTAGTTTCTCCGATATAAAAAAGTTTGCAATTGGAGCAATTAATTTGATATACTATAAGTTCTTGAGGCGGTCAGAATTAAACTAAATTAAATTAAAGATTCAATTTGTGTAAAAACGGAACTAAAGGGTTGTATCGCAATTGCACACCAACAAAAGGCCACACTGTTTGTTGAAACAGCCTTCTCCACGAAAAGTAATGTAAAAGATTTGTATTTTTCGTATTCACAGAATTTAAAATTATCTTTACACATACACCATAAAATAACGTGCCCAATAATCTATCACTGATAATTTATTCTTTACTCATTTTTAAGAAAATTAACTTGTTTCTAAGTAATATTTTTTATTCATCAACTCAAACACTAATTAATACAATTAAAATATAAAATGTCTTCTGTAATATGCATTTTTATCATAAATCTGCGTAAAGTACAATTAATCAATATCATACAAATAAAATATATAGTGTCTCCTATAATATAACACAAATTACATATGCTCACATGTTACAAACTATATACTCCATTCAATTTTATTTACTTGAATCTGTATATAATTTTTATGTTATAGGAGTATGTTACAACTGTCTCCAAACACAAACATTGTTATACATTATTGAAGGTTGATAAATTTGAAACAAAATATTAAATAAAATTTAATGTTAGTCGATAATAATAATGCAAACCAAAAATGTATGATAGATCAATTTCATATTACTTGTCAAAAATGACGGACCAACACAGTTCTGTATATTGCGTTTTTGCAATAACCCCACTTATGTTTGATATAATAGAGAAGTTTTAAAACGCATTACATTATTTATTTCTAAGATTTTGCAATTTATAACACCCCGTACCAGGATTATAAAATTTTGTGTGAAGTTTAATTTGTTATATAAAACTTCTGCTGGCGACAAACTCTGCAAAGTTGTTATGAAATCTACTTTTGAAATTTTATATTATGTTATTTTTATGTCTCTTTTTAAAGTGCTCTATGAGAAGTATAAATGTGTACTTATAGTATATCGCTCATTCTCAAACTTCGATCATAATTATTAAAAAAGATCTGAATTATGATTTTTTTAATACTAATAATTCTGTAATAGAAGAACTTTTTATAATTATTATATAGTGAAGATTGATTGATAATGAGAGTTCAAATTTTGATTACGATTTAAACTAGTGGGGTGGGTGGCATCGTGCCTTAAGGCAAATTGCTGGAACTTCCCGTACCGTAACGAAATGTTCGAGGATTACTGAATGTTTTCAAATAGATTATTATGAATATTGTAACATTGTCTAATATTTATAAATATTATATAAACTGAATTGCAGAGTTATTAGAGATTATTTGTAAAGTATATTAGAGCTATAGTCAGAATTAAAAATAAATATTTTCGATATACAAAAAACTAAAAAAAATAAAAAAAAAAAATGGGCCAATTTTTTTTTTCCAAAATCGATTATTTTGTTAAGACAAGCAGAAAGTTCTTTGAATCATTTAAATCGGACGCTTAGTTCTCTCAAAAACTGCCATTTTTTACATATTTAGCTCCGTATCTTCAAAATGGCTGGGCCTGCCTTTGCCAAAAACTAATAAACACTTCTCCCAATCATTACTAATTGAATGTTTTTTAGATCATTCAAATCGGATACTCCGTTCTCTCAAAAATACGATTTCTATTTTCTGCACTCTTTGCTCCGTATCTCCGAAACGGCTGGACCTGCCTTTGCCAAAAACTAATCAGCTCTTTTCCCTATCAATAGGAATCGGATGTTTTTTGAACCATTCAAATCGGTTGATCCGTGCGCCCTAAAACGTGACTGGAAATTTGTATCCACACATACATACACACACACACACACACACACATCCATTTTTTCTGAGGTATGCCAAAACGTTCAGAAACCTTCAAAACGTCGAGAAATGTAAAAATTTTCAATTCCGATTTTCGGCCCTTACAATAACTTACCCTACGGGAAGTTAATTAATATTTTATATCAAATTACCGTTAGTTTGAAGTTACATTTTTCGAGAATTCAGTAAATTTTCTATTCTTGTTTACAAGTGATATTCAATAGACGAATTATATCTAAAAAATGTAATAGCAAGTCGTACAAGATATTATTTAAAATTTTTCGTTTCTTATTTTTATCATTATTTTCATACTTTTTTAGAAAGAGCACAATGTTACTTTATCGGAATAATACAGACTCCTATTTCCTATTAAGCATCATGTCCTCTTTCAATTAATAATAAACTGTTCACACAAATTGTAATTTTGTAAAAGCACAATACTCTCTATGTTCAAAAAGTTTATGATTTTTTAAACTTTTTTTATTCACTTATTGAAAGTTACATGCCAATTACGATTTTTCGTTACCCGTCGGATATTTATAACAAATTTATGAAACGGTCCTTCGAAAATAGTTCTGTAAATAGTGCATTTTTTTCTGTCTCTTTCGTTAAAATTTTAATGTAATTTATTTAATATTGCTGCGTGCACAGTTTACCAGTAAATAAAAAGTAATTAATTCTCAGTTTGATTGTTGCTAGCGCTATAATCTATCGTTTTTATTACTAGAAAACTTATTTCAGTAATGTTTATAGCAACTCATTTCCTTTTCGATTTCACAACTAATAGTTCAAGTTTTTACCTATGTGCGTTGTTGCATTTTGTGGTTAAATTTTTATGATTATAATTAATATAATGCCTATAAAGTTGATTTACCGTACGAAACTAAATTTCTGGGCAAAAATTAATTACTACCATAGTTGTGTGTTGGGCCTATTTGTAACAGCCATAACTATTAAAGTTAAGATCCAAAAGGATCTTAAACGATATTAAAATATTTTTTGTCTTCATGGAACATGTATACCATCCTGTATAATATCGTCATAACTAATGCTCCCCAGAGGTCATCGCAATAAACAGAACTGTGAATTTTGTAAATAGTTATCTTACTTAATGTAAAAAATCCACATCTGGGATTAGTTGAAACAAAATCTTGGGGCTAGTTATAACATACAAGAATTAAATTCAGATTCAAGTGAAGAAAATTGGATGGAATATGTAGTTTTTAACCTGTGGACACATGTAAATTGTGTTACAGGAGACACTATATCATTTATTTGTATCATGATATTCATTGTAGTTTACGTCGATTTATGATAAAAATTCACATTACATGAGGCATTATGTATTTTATTTGTAATAATTACAGTTTGCACTAACGCATTAAAATAATTCCTTAGAATACAAGTCAATTTTATTAAAAATCTGTAAAGAATCAATTATCAGAGGCATTATTGTCGTTTTTGTCGTTAACCATAAGTTGGTACAGCGCACTTTTTCTAGAAATTGATTAATTGTGAAATAATAAATGCAATTATTTTTACTTGATTCGGTAGAGAAATAATTACAACAAATATCCATCGTTATTTTGTAGAAATATAAACAGTGCGCTTCAAGGTATATTAATTAAAAATGTTACAGGCCGGCAGGCGAGTATGAATTCCCATGAAAAATCAAAGAAGAGTATAATTAAAACTACAGAACTCGCTGTACTACATATTTATTGAACATAGCAAAATTGTGAAAGATATATAGATTTATTACAATTATTACCTTTTGTAATACCAACTCTTATCTTATTACAATGAAAATTTGAATTTTGATATATTCGTCAATATTAATCAGTGGATATCGTAAATCCAGCTCAAATTATGTAGTTTATTAGTAGTCATTCAACTTTTTACAAGATATATTATATATAATACACAACTGGATATATATGGAAAATGTGAACTTTAATCATAGGAGGTTTTCTGGTCAAAACATTTTTGTATCATGCGCAAACTAAAACGATATTTTGTTATGCATTTCTATTTCATTTTTCCATCACTTCTGGCATTCAGATTATTTAGGATTACATGTTTTACCACCACAATTGTAATGAATCTTCGGAGTTAATTTGTGGTTTCTTCCATTAACAAATTCTCGGTATAATAAACTCAAAAATGGAGATAAAATATTGATTTGGATGTTCTATTTAGAGAATTTTGAGATAAAATATTAACTTTTATAAGTAGAAGAAATATAAAGAAAAATAGAAAATTATTCAATTGGGAAACAGTTGAGCAGCTTCAGTATTTTTTCTCAAATTTTGCATGTAATAATGAATTTCAAAATGATGATCATAGAATATATAAATATAAATCAACTTTTGTTTGAAATTACTCTCTCTATTTTCTCTTTTAAATATATGCATATAGTAAAAATCGGGTAGCGCTGTCCTAGGGCATATTCGTGAACTGAGTTAACGGATTCCGGGAAGAATAGTATGAGAGATTTTCCATTTCCATTTTATATCGCAGTTCCAGAAAAGGGCTTAATTTGAATTAGAAACATATTTTGGATCTTTATTTTAAGTAAAAATGGACATCACTGCTGGCCGATGTCTAGGGCGAAGTTCAATTACACGACGCCGTCCACACGAATGCGTTACGCCAAGGAAACCCATGCATAGTTATATTTAGATTTATTAATATCATAATTTTGAATAAATTCCAAATATCTTTATCTATTCCAGATTTATAGTGCCGGATCCTTTGGAACCAATTCCCATATCGGTTTCGACCTCGAGAGATCCCACGCGGGATGCGCGGACTCAGTTTGAGCTACGGCAGCCGCGCCACCTGGACATGTCAGCCCATCTGGTGGCGGAGGACGTACCGAGGTAAAACTGTTTGTTTATTGATATTCATTTGTGTTTATTGTAGTTTATTATTATTTCCACATTCTCATATTGCGTTACTCGAGAGAAATTTAAACTGTTAGTTGATATTGAACATAAGTGTTGAACTGAGAACACTGATTATAAATGATGATGATTGATAGTTGTATTTTCTCATGAATTTACATGCGAACGCGCATGTAGATGAACTTATTATAATTTAAAAGAGTGTTTGAACAACATGTTATGAAATTAAAAAAGAAACCTATATTTTATATTTGTAATTTAAGCGAAATGTTATTTTTCTTATCTTCAAAATCAATGTACTCCCATTAACTAACAGCCCCTACTCATAATCAATGTACTGATATAGTAAAATATTTGTATTAGCCATACTGACCCATATTAAAGATGTTTTGTTGACTATTCATACAGTATCGTATGCTCAGTTCTAAGCAAATATTAAGGGTATGGTTTAATATTATAGAACATAAACCAAAGCCATATATTTTATGATAAACATAGGGTATTGGAATATACAATAATTTCTGGTATATACAATATACCATAAACGATAAGTTATTCATTTTTTTAAATCTCGAAGAAGAAGTTAATGTTTTCGCCAGAAAATCCATTTTGCTCATTTTATGCTTTGTCGACACTTAAAGTCATTTCGAATCGAATGAGACCAAATCTGGAAAAAAATTGAATGTGTGTGTATATGAGGACTAGCGTATTTTTACGACAACCGGCCGAGTCGTTATTTGAAATTAGCAGAATAGTGTAAAACTTTTCGCCCACGTTTTAGCCTACAATTCTAAATTGATTTTAAAAATTAAAAAACTGTTCGAAAAATTGGTTAGCAATCGTGCTGATTAGTTGTTGGCAAATGTTTTTAATGATTTTGACGAAACTTTGTATGGCGATAAATTTTGTAGTCTGAAAATAGAAATAACATACTAAAATATTACAGGTCTATAAATTTCGTCGCGTGCTTAAGCGATTTTAATCAAAATTATATTATCCATATACGTGTGCTATATTTTGTATGTAGCTACTGATTACAGTTAACGACCACATTGAAATAAAATATATTTTTAGAACGCAAAAAATGTAAAATGAAATGTTTTAAACAAATTAATTTAAATTATACAATTACATATAGTATAAATATATTTCAAAGGCATCAATTAACTAAATTTAAATTTTTAATGATTAAGTTTGCTACTTACAAATTGATTTATTATCTAATTTTAGATAAGTTTATCTTGTTGCTCAATAAATATTCTGCTTTTTGCTATTTCAGATCATTTATCAATTGCTTTTCAATTTATGTATAATTTAGGCAGAGTTTGTAGTTCAAGGAACTAGGAACTTTATTCTTTATTTTTAAAAAGCTCGTTGCGGAATATTATTCATATCATTCGCTTTATTTGAAACTTGCAATATAATTTTTTCTGAACCAATAATTTTATCATATTTCAACACACAATTATTAAATTACATTCAAGCATTTAAATGTTCTCATAAAGTATGCAATCATAATTTCTATAATTTTAATTATAATAATAGTATTGCTAATACACAATAAACTTTTGTGCATTTACTTACACCACATTAATATATAATTAGAAAACTAACACTGGTTGTTTATAATCTTGAAACTTAATTAGAAGTGATATTTTGTGACGGTAATTAAAACATATTTCTGAGTGTTACATAATTTCTCAGTATTCTGATAACTATACAGACAAGAGAATATTTATTATGACATTATTTCTTATACAATCTCTCTCTGTACCAGCGTAGCACTTGTTGAATCTCGTACCAATATAGTTTTGTTTGTTCAACTTGTAATTAGGGGTGAATTCATATACATAAGCAAATATGTACTTGTTTGCAAGTATACCGTTACAGAATACAGAATACAGACATTCATGTACAGTACTTGAACAGTACCTACAGAATTAAATGGAGATGAGAAAATTTTATCGATGCATGAATATGTTGACCAGATATTACTTAATGCTTAAATAGATTTGAAAACTAATGGTAAAGAACTTCCATGTATAATAATTCATTGACTATTATGAATCAATGTGATTATTAACTTCCCGAAGGAGAAGTTTATGTTTTCATCAAAAAATCCGATTCGCTAATTTTATGTTTTCTCGACATTTCAAGCCATTCTGAATCGAATGAGACCAAATTTCGAAAAAGTATGTGTGTGTGTGTGTGTGTGAACAGATTTTTTGCCGTAAATCGACGTTTTCTCGAAAACGGCTGGGCCGATTTCAAAAATTTAAAAGCCATTAGATGTATCTCGACGAGGACTATTGTTTGTCAGTTTTGTGCGACGATCTGCCAAGCCATTTCTTTATAAATCGCACAAACGTGAAAAATTTTTCGTCTACGTTTTAGTCCGCAATTCTGAACCGATTTTGAAAATTTGAAAATGATTTTGAAAGATATTGGTTGGGAATCAATCGTGCTGATTAGTTTTTGGTAGAGATCGGCCGGGCCGTTCTCTTGTAATAAAGTTTAAAAAAAAAAAATCTCGACGATTTTTATGATTTTTTTTTTGACGGTAGATACCATAGTCTTCTAGATCATACTAAAACATTACGGCCCTACGACAAATGGTTTAGCTTTAAAAATTCGTCAAAGTTTGCAAAAATTGGTATCATTTTTTTGACGTTTGTCAAAATTAGAACTTTGATCGACGTTTTCTCAAAAACGCCTAAACCGATTTCAAAAATTTAAAAGCCATTTGATGTATTTCGGCGAGGACTATCGTTTGTCAGTTTTGGGCGACGATCTGCCAAGCCGTTTCTTTGTAATTTGAAAAAAAGTGTTAAACTTTTCATCCACATTTAAGCTCATCCTACCGAACCGATTTCAAAAAATCAAAAACTGTTCGAAAGATATTAGTTGGGAATGATACTGATTAGTTTTAGGTGAAAATCTATCGAGCCGTTTTCTTGTAATTAACTGTTGAAAAAAAAATTTAAGCCGATTTTTATGGATTTTTTTTAGCGATGTATACCATGGTCTTGTAGAATTTACTGAAATATTACGGCCTTACGACTAATAGTTTGATTTTAAAAATTCATCAAAGTTTGAGAAAATGAGTAGTTCTTTTGACATTTGTTAAAATTAAAATTAGACTATTTACTTGGTATAATGATAGAGTACTTGGTGTGAACATAATAAACCATTATCCGAGTTAACGTGTTCATTTGTTTTCAATTATGTGTAATAAATCCATACTTTTAATCACTCATAAATTAATTTAGTTTCTATTGATTAAGTCGATTATTTACTCATATCGGGAAGTTCATGTAACTTGCCTCAAGGCTAAATACCAAACCAACTAGTTTAGGTATGTAAATCGTTCCTTTAAAAGATTGATATGAATTTTGTAAAATCTCTTGTACTGGTACACTAATCAAAATTGCGTGAAAAAGTATTGATATTATTAATTTAGATATTGATATTATTAATTTAGATAATTTAGATATTATTAACATTCACGCACACATATTCATTTTAGTTTTATAAATAATGATAAGGTATAAATCTGAAATCAATCTTGATGCGCAACTCGACCTAAATAATTAGTTAACAATATACTAATGTATTAATTATTTTATTTAAAATTTTTGCAAATCTCTGCTAATTCTAAAGCAACGGCCGTTTGTTTCAAAGATGTAACTTTAGCTATCAATTTTCATTGAATTGCTTCTAAATTTTTGAAATCCGGTCAGCCGTTTTCGAGAAAACGTCGATGAAAGGTCAAAATTAGGTTCCCATACACATACATATACATAAAAATACGAACACACACATACACACATATATTTTACAAATTTTGTCTCATTCGATCCAAAATGACTTGGAACGTCGAGAAAACATTACAAACGAAATTAGCAAATCGGATTTCTTCTTCGAAAAGTTAAAAGTAGAGTAGAAATAGATAGCTTTTCAACTTCCCGTAGGGTTAGTTATAATAATTGAAAAAAATCGAAAATGAAAATTGAATATTTTGGCATATCTTAGAAAAAATGAATGTATTTGTGTATGTGTTTGTGTTGGGTAGTATGTATGTGTAAATGTGCAGATATAAATTTTCGTCGACTATTTCGAGAGCACAGATCAACCGAATTCAATGATTCAAAATTAGTTTTTGGCAAAGGCACTTCCAGCCGTTTACCGGGAAAAAGGGCCAAAAATGGCAATAGAGGAATAAGAAAATTTTAATAGAATGAAGCGTCCGATTTGAATAATTCAAAAAAACATTTTAATTGTGTTGACAGACTGAAGAACAATTTTCGAAGGCAGGTCGTCATTCTCAGAGATCCAATAAAAAAGGTTGAAAAACATGCCAAAATATGCATATTAAATTATAAGATATTTTGTGGAGATTCTAATAATGACTACAATTTTTTCACATTTCAATGGGGTACTTAGCGAGTTTGATGATGTTTATCGCGGCGCTTACGCGCTTCTGTAAAACAGAAATGCAGCGCCATGAAAATAATTCAAATGTTTTCAGAAATTTCAAAACATATTAAAAAGAATAGGAACTTTAAAAAAAATCAAAGTTCCTAAAAAATCACTTATAGTTTTTTGAGAAATGTCAAAAATTCTTAAAGATTTTTTGAAGAAATTTGCCTTAATAGAGATTTCTAAAAAAAAATTCTTAAGATACAACGCTATACACGACTAGTATAACATATGGCATGTCTTAATTGTCTTCTATGAAGTGAAATTATATATATATATATATATATATATATATATAATAGAGATGGGTAACTCACTCCGGAGTTATCACTCGGATACAACTCCTCCCTCGGAGTGAATCCGAGTGTAGTTGTTTCACAGGATTTGTCATATCCGACTTCCTCAAATTGATATTAAATCTGTTAACTCGTACTGGCATTTAGTGTTTTTGTCGTTTTTGATTTGGGAAGGAAGAGGTCACTTTCTTGTCTCGCAGG